TAAGAGATCGGCCCCGAAACTTGGACCAGGCTTGAATTTCGGTCGGCCTCGCGTTCCCCGTAATTGCAGCCAGGCAGGTTTCCATTACGAATTTAAATATTGATTCCCGCCGCCACTGGCAGCCGTAATGGAATCTGAAAAGCTCGGCGCAACTGGGCTTTGGAGAGGTATCGGTTTGGTCGGGTAGCTAGCCTGAACCTCCTCCGACCGAGGCTGCTTTCCGCTCGCGCTTCGCTTTCCCGTCTTTTTCGACAGCATCCGGAACGGCAGATCAAAGTTGCCGGTAACTAAGCCGAAAGTCGAGAGCCACGCCGGTTAATACGTACTCTCAATCTCATCGTTGCGACTCGTCATTAACTTCCAAATCGACTGGATACGTTCCTCCCGCGATTCTCACCCTTCTTCCCTTTTCATACCCGTTCACTCTCTGCCCGTCCTTTTCCCTTCCTCGTTCCGGATCAGACGTAACGGGGAGAAAGGAGAGGCTGGCGAAAAATGAGCGTGCAGACGCTCTCGGGGGGGGGGGGAAGGGGGGAAATGTATCGATCGACACGAGCATCACGATTCTACGTTCGCGAAAATCGCCGGTTGCGTATGTTCTCTCTTATTGACATTCGATATTCGGGTTAAACGAGTGCGCACGTCAAAGTGAGAGAGAGGAAGAGAAGAAGAGAAAGGGAGGAGCAATGCATAGTGAATGATGGATAAGCAGCTTTCATTGCGTTCATCGCGTTTCACGTAAGCGAGACGTCATCGTCGTTTATGATGTATAAATGACAGTAACATAAAAATTATCACCTGAAAAGTAACGGTAACAAAGTGAATAAATAAATTAAACATAGTAATTGCGACAAAGGTGAGCAAAAGTTGACTCACGTAAGCGAGACGTCATGGACGATTTATGGTGCATGGTGACATATAATAGGTAATATAAAAGATACCTAAAAGTAAAAATATATTATTTTTATATTACAGTCGATACGAAAAACAAGTTAAATATATGTAAATTATAATGATGGTAGTAAAGCAGTAATAATAGTAAGTTAAATATAATAATAGTTTTAAGATAACAAAGCTGTAGATACTTGTCCCAAGTTTTCAAAATATCGTTCGGAAGAGCTAGTTGGAGTAATTACGTTGGCAATATATCGTGACGTTTCATTACGCGCTCCAATTCGGAACTTAGAAGGATTTTCCAGCGTCGGAATGGCTTCGTGGCTTGTTCCTGCAGCTCATCAATGTTTACTGTATTCGTATTCGACGAACGACTACGATCACAGATTCATCCGATGCCTTTCTTCTCAATTCTCATCCCGACGAACTTATTGAAACCCGCTTCGAGAAAACTGGAATCGTTCCGCGACGTCATCTCGATCGTAATTTTCTCTTTTCCTTTTTCTTTTCC